CTGTGAAGGTATAATCTTTCTCCATATGGCTTAGCTGAAGTATTATCCTGGTGCACTGAGTCCTGCAAGTAAATGGAGCTCTGTTGGATCCTCCTCTCACCAACCACAGCACTTGGATAGGTGATGAGGAGAGAGGAAGCTCAGGGAACAGGAATTCACTGAGCCACTCAGTGCAGGTCACTGGATGAGCCTGAAATGGGACAAGAAGAGCAGAACTCCTCATTCCTGCCCTGACTGCAGCAGCTGAGCACAGGGTCCAGCCCCAGAGAGCCCCTCCATGGGGTGAGACTCTGGGAAAAGGACTTGTTCCAGGGAGGAATGTTCCCCATTAAGGTCACACAGGAAGCTGACACCCTGGGCTGAGAATAGCTCGTTAGCTAAGGTTGCTCAGTGCCATCATCACAAGGAGCTTTTGGCCTGCTCCTCCTTGGCTTGTGAGTGTTGGATGGTGGACGTGGCCTGAGGGAGGTGTGAGAAGTGGGATATGGTCCTCGTGCCCTCAGGATCACATAACTCCAGAGAGGAGGTGGGAGGCAATTCCACATCCAGGACTAGCCATTCTCTGTAGGCATTTTAGCTTCTAACAGGCTGCATTTCCCTGTTTATGTCCCTCTAACATAGAAACCCAAATCAAGTCTCAGTTTAAACTGTGAATTCCAAAGGCATGGCTTGGATTCCAAGTTTTGCTTGGGAATCAGAGGAATTTAACCTTTCTTATAACCAAGCTAAAAGCATTGGCTGAAAGTACAGAGAAGAGCTTGAGATTGTGTTATTTCGGTATCTTCAGTTTTTAATGTGAGGTTTTGGATGTTTTCTGCCTTTTGGTGGGATCAGAATATCCATGGATAATCCACAAAGTAGTATTTTTCTTGACATCTTCCTGGTCCAAACAGAAGTATATAGAATTTTAGGGGTTGGAATTGAGCTTAGAGACCATCCAGTTCCAACCTCCTGCCCTGGGCAGGGACACCTCCCACCAGAGCAGATTGCTCAAGGCTTTATCCAGCCTGGAATGAACATTGCCAGGGTTGGGGTATCTACTACCTCCCTGGGGAAGCTGTTCCTGTCCTGAAGCCCTGGGGAGATTTTCTATTGTGTTTTCCTCATCCAGGATGAAATCTGCACATGAACCTGTGTATCCAACACCATCCATCACTCCTATTTAGTGTCTTCCTTAAAAGCAGCTGTTTCTTATGGAATGATGATGCAATCCATGTGCTCAGACTATAGGACTAGATGTGATCAGCAAGCTGTGGGCAACTGGGAATGCTTTGGGAACAAGCACAATATGGTTGGGATGAAAAGCAAAGGAGGACTGGGAAAGGGAGGGGAGAAAGACACTGATGTCCCACAGAGCACAGTGAGCCAAGCAGCTTGTGATCTTGATGTATGGCCAAAGATCTTTAGGTTTGGAAGAAGCATCCAGACTAACTGTGGAATGTGTTGGGCCTTTTTTTTTTTTTCTCCCAGTGTTCCTGGCCAGTTTTGGCACACTGTCTGCCATCCGCTACTTCCGACGGCAGGTCAGAGAAGGACACCCCCGGACCTAACCTCACACACACCACAGCTGCTTCCCAAGGGAAGGACAGTGGAGGCAGAGACTGGGGATTTTGTTCTTGGACAGTGTGAGAAGCCTGGATCCCAGCACCAAGACTTCCCTGGAGCCATCCCTACATGAGCCAGGATGCCCCAGGGAGCAGGATCCTTCCAGTGCCAGCGTATCCCATGTGGTAGGCACTCAGTAGCTGTGCTGGACAGAAGAGGAGCACAGTGTGGGCTGGTTCTGGGTTTCTCTTGCACACTTCTGGCACACTTGTGCTATCCCCTAGGAGTAGTCCCAGTGGCTGTTCCAGGGTTGAAGTCACTTAGTGGCAAAGGAAGGCACTGAGGTGGTGGAGAGAGGTGAGAGCAAAAGAAACAAGGAAAGTGCTTTGTTCCTGCAAGAGTTGGGATATCTTTGAAGGAAGAGGGGAGGAAGCTTTGGGAAGAGCTGTCTGGCCAAACATGAGGCTTTGTAAGCATGTGCTGGGCAGCAGCTAAAGGGAGACTGAGGGGCCACTGGCTTGGCAAGCTCAGGTCTCCCATGACTGCCTTGGCAAACTGCAGGACGACTCATCTTCTAGGATTTCACTCCAAGAAATCACAGCTCAGTGTAAGAGTTCAGGAGGCTGAGATGAGGTTTCTGCTGCATGTGGCCACCTCAGCCCTACTGAGCCACAGCCATGGATGTGGTGTCTGTCCCTGTGGGTGAGGAGCACCCACTGCAAGGACACATCCCAATCCCACAGGCAGAGGATGGGCAGGGCCGGAGCCAGGGAAAGGGGAAGCCAGGGAGGATCCTACAGGAGATGCACAGGATGGAAAAGGGCTGCAGGGGCAGCAGGGAAAGGGGCTGAGCTTAGGGAAGTCTCAGGAAAGAGCCCTGACAAGGAGAGGAGCATGTTGGAGAGGAGGAAAGAGGTATGTGGACATGTTTGGCTGTGCCAATCACCAGAGAAAGGGTTTGGATATATCACTTGTTCCCATCCTAGAGGGATGAAGTTGGCTGGGGGAGATGTGGGCTGAGGGGATGCTGTGGCTGTGTGTGTGTAACCTGTGGGGCTGGGGAGGGCTCAAGGGGATCCAGAATGGGATGTGAGGTGAAAATATGAAGTGGTTCAGACTCTCCCCTGTCTCTAGTGCCTTCCTTATCACTCAAGGGCATTATTCAGGAGGGTTTTTCTTCACTCCCAAGTCTGATAACAGCATGAATGTGAGATTAAGCACTCAGGGACCAGATCCACAAAGGTACTATGGGAAATGAGCCTGGAATACCAGTGTGGATCTGTCTGTGAGCTCTGTAGGAATTCTGTGGTGATGTTTGTCTCATGAAACCAGAGAGGAGAGGTTTAGCTCTTTCCTTGTAATGCAGAGTGCCATGAAATTTTAATGTGTGTAGGGATGGACTGAAGACCATGTATTATTGCTGATAAGAGAGCACAGTGTGCAATTGTACAGTGAGACATGTAGCTGTAAGTACTGGGAGAGATGTACAGGCTCTATATGGACTATAGCAGCTGTATATATATTCATTCAGAGGAGTTTTGTGGAGGAAAAGAAGAGATGAAATATGCTGGAAGCTTCTAATAAAGATCTATCTCATTTACTACTTTTGTACATTCCTCTGTCTCCACTGTTGGTGTGGGAAACTGTTGAATAAGTGCTGAGTTTTAAAGGAGGAGAAATCAATCCATTATGTGTCTGTTGATACAAAACCATAGGAGTTGGTGGGTTTGGAGCCCCTGGAGGACAGAGCATGCAGGGAGATGGGCTGTGTCTCCTGTTCCTTGGCTCAGTCCCCATGCCTGTCCCTCTGAGACACAGATTGGCTGTCACATGTCACTAACAGCCTGATGCAGAGAGCTCTCCTGCCTCAGAAACTCTCAGCTTCTCCTCACTCAGCTCCTTGGGGCTCCCTGAACAGATCAGTGAGCACAAGGCAATGCCCAACAGCAGCTCCTCTGCTCGCTCCATCGATCCTCATCACCTCTGTGCTCCCTGATCCTCCTCAAAGCAGCCAAACTCTCCAGTCTGGGCTGATCCAGGCCCACCTGGCACTGCTCACAAAGGTGTGCCCAGCAGATCTGCTCCCTGCATGGAGCAGGAGCACAGCAGGCACATGGGAGGCTGAAGCATTCCATATGTTTGGCTTTCCTGTTTATCCAACCATAATCCATTCAGCTCTCTCTGCATTCTCCAGGGCAGGTAGGAACAGCAGCCTGGGCATGGAGGGTGGGAGATGAGGAACAGCTGGAGGAGTCAGGAAATTTCACTGTGCCAGGTTTTTCTGGGAGCTGAGCACAGCACAAAGGGCAGAGGAGAGCAGCAGGCAGGTTTGCTGAAGGGAAAGGGCTCTGGCACTGCCAGCCCAGGACCCTGACAGGTCTCAGGGCTTCCAGCTCTCCCTGACAGTTCTCACACTGAGTGAGGACCCCAGGGTAAGGACAGAGCTGAATTCTGACCAGTCACTGCTCCCTGGGTTTGAATTGGTCAGATTTTGTGTTTTCTAGCCTTGTCATACAGCTCTGGAGGAAAGAATGTTTTCCTTTCACTGTGCAGGTGCAGGAACAGCTCATTTCCCTCCTGGCCATGTACAGCACTGCCAGGTGCAACTCTGGCAGCTAACAAAGCATTGTGTTAGAAATCACTGGATTTAATACTGAGCCAAATGCTTTGTGTCTGTCTCAGTGATTGCAAAGTTGGCTTGAAGATCTCACTGGAACTGGGGAGGATTTCTGGCCAGAAATCATCAGGTTGGGGCCACTTTTGATGCCAGTAGATGCTCCAGGGTTCTGTGCTGGGCTGTGGAGTGTCTGCTTGTACCAGATCTTTTCTAAGTGATGCTCTGACTTTGGGGACCTCATTTTTTCCAGTGGTCTGGTCCAAAGGTGAGCCATGCACAGCCAAATACAGCACTTGAGGTGGGAAAAGAAGCTCCTGGCTGTCCCTGACCTGCTCAAGCTAGGAAGGGCTTGGTGGCACCAAGCAATAAGGGGTATATCCCTCTCTCAATGCCTCAGCCCCTGACCTGCTCAAGCTGGGAAGGGCTTGGTGGCACCAAGTGCCAAGCAATATGGGGTATATCCCTCTCTCAATGCCTCAGTGCTCAGGAACTCATGCTGTTTCTTCCCAGGAGAGCTGAGTACTCCTGTTGTGCTGTAGGTAACATCAGGTACCTGTCACCTCTACCAGTGAGTACCCTTTGCTTGCCTGTGAGAACTGCTGTCTGATCCTTTAGAGCTGCAACTTGGAGAAGTCAATATGACTTGGCACCTCTCCCTGCTAAAAGTTACCTCAGGTGCCAGATGATCCATCAGGTTATAGGTGTATTTCACACTCCTTTTGATCTCTGCTGGAAGAAGTGGGAGGAGATAAATATTTCAGGAGATGGATGTTTTCAGCTGACTGCAGAAGCCAAAGGAAATATTGAAAGAGCTTGTTGGTATCAGGGGATGAGCTCAGGGAGAGTCTGTCCTGCTCAGTCAAGCAGAAGTGTCCTTCAAGGGCTGCAGTGACAGGACAAGGGACAGTGGGGACAAATTGAAAGAGAGAAATTTAGGTTAGATCTTAGGAAGATGTTTTTCCCTGTGAGGGTGGTGAGACACTGGCACAGGTTGCCTAGGGAGGCTGTGGCTGCCCCAACCCTGGCAATGTTCATTCCAGGTTGGATGAAGCCTTGAGCAACCTGCTCTGGTGGGAGGTGTCCCTGCCCAGGGCAGGGGGTTGGGGCTGGATCATCTCTAAGATTCATTCCACCCCAAAAATTCCCTGATTCGAGGAAACCAGCCTGGTCTTGCCTGCAATTTTAATGCTTGGTATATTCTCTGACCTTTTAAGCTCTCTCTCCCTCCACAGTGTGGTCCTCCTGCCCCTGGAGGGAGCAGCCAGGACCTCACCATCCCTTGGCAATAGCAGCAGCCACAATAGCAACGACCTTTCCATGCATCCTCAGTGCTGTGAGGCTGTTATCCCTTTTCCAGTGAGAAGGTGGGACCTGTGCCATCCCACCCTGCTGCTTTGCCTCGCACGTAGCTCCCACATCTGACACCTTGTCTTGCCAAGCAGATGAAAAAGTCAGGCAGGTGCACCCTGGAGATCTGCCCAAGTGTTTCAGCTGGCCTGGATACCCCATGTGCCACTGGTGCTGGAGCTCTGCTGGGAGCAGGATGCCTCTCCTGCTTCTCTCCCCCTTTTCTCACCTATCACTTTTGCCCACAGCAGCTCCTTTGCTCTTATTTTGCCTTCATCTCTCTGTGATGAAACCAGAGCAAAGCTTCCCAGGGACATTTCAGAGTCGTGACTGGCTTCTCCCTGCAACTGGGAGAGATTTTTGGGGGCTTGGTGCTGTGCCAGGGCAGGGGGAGCAGTGACCTCCCTCTTCTCTCGGGCTGACACAAGCGCCAGTTGCTCTGATCGCTTGGGCAGCAGCGAGAGCTTGACATCTTTGGGTAGATTCTCCCACCCACAGGGCACTGAGGGAGTTGCTCATCACAGACTAGAGCAGATCCTGCACAGCCTCAGCTCCTCGAGGCTCTGGGAAGGAGGGATGCTTAGAGGTTTGCCTAGAGAATCCTTCCAAAACCTCAGCTTTGGTTTCCAGCCGACTGGAAGAGACATGTTCATCCCAGCTGCTCCCCAAGGAATTCCCAAACCTCAAGTGTATTTATAAAGGCAATAAAAAGATGGGAATGTGCTGCAGCTACACCTTGTCTTCACTGGCAGCTTTTTTTTTTTCCCAACTCCCAAAGTTAAAGGAGCAAGTTACAAGCTGCACTTTGTATTTTATTCTTTTGAACACCTCTTTGTGGTTTATTCTTTGAGCAAAAGAGGTTTGTGGCTTGGAGAGCAGAAAGCAGAGAGCAATCCATGGTGTGTCCATCTGCCTTTCCAGCTACGGAAAAGAAGGAGGGGGAGGACCTGATTCAGGACTTTTAACACTTGGAGGGAGTGGAGGGGGTGGAGAGATCATTTGTCAGAGAGTGAATTGTTGGCAGCCAGTGGCATCTCATGCCTTTCATCTGCCTCTGGGAATAAAGACACAGCTATCCTGTGACCAAGCTGACAGCACGATGTGCACAGCCTGCCTGGCAGCTCCAGAGCACTTTGGACCTGCCTTTTGGCTCCTGCAAAGCCTTAAAACCCATGACAGGAGATGGAATGAGATGAGCTTGAAGGTTCCTTCCCCCCCAACCCAGTGATTCTATGACTGATTTTACAGAGAACCTTACCAGGACATTGGGGCTGAAGCAAAGTCAGATGAGCTTTGGCACTAAACCACTCACCACATCTCATTGCCTGACAAATCTGGGGAGACTTTGCTTGAGGATTAGGTGTTTACAGGTGCCTGACCTGAACCAGAGTCAGTCAGCACTCTGGAAATCCTCCTGAACTCAGGTCCCCAAAGTCCTCAGGGGAGGAAAGGCTTTGGAATGGACAGCAGTGAGGGCCAAAACTTCACCACCTCTATTAAAACCAGATGATGGCAAAGAAAGAGAGAAGGAAAGTGTTCCAGGAAAATGTGTATTGCAATTATCCAATCCCACAGAAATCAATGAGGGCACTTTAATATCAACAGGAAGGAAATCTTCCCTTTTGATACATTCCAGCTATCACTGTTGAAATTCAATTCCAAAGATGATAGTGACCATTTTCAACACGTTGATAGGAGCTCAAGAGCTTGGAGACCTCCCAGCATAAATGTGCTTTTGATGTTCCCTAGCACAGTTTTGTTCTGAATAAATAGATCATTCAGGGGATTATTAGCTACAAATCTTCCCAAACCAGAGCAAACCTGAAACAAAACAGTAATAGCTACAAGACCCAACCCAACCCAGTCATGAACGTGCAGACAATTGCCCATTTTACAGTACTGAACATCAGCCACTAGAAAATTAAATAGATCTTCAACTCAGCCTTATTTACACCTTAAATACAGAGAACCTACTCAAACTTTACATGTAAACTTGGATACCCCCTGAAAAAAAAACCCTTAAAATACAATATAATACAGATATTCAAGTACAAAGAGCTCCTGGATTGATTTGTTTGCACCAATGAAAGAACAAAATTAGAGGTTTGGTTACTATGTTTGGTTTGCAGCTTCTTTAGGGAACAAAGGTTAAGTATTTGGTGCCTCAGGTAACAACAGTTGTATTTGCTGCTGAGCTTCTATGTGCTAAAGGATCTGCTCTAAGAAGCTGGAAAATAATAGCACTGAGACTCTGTCCCCTCTTGTTTGTGTCCTGCTCCTGCGGTGGCTCCACTGTGGTTTTGAGCCAGCACTGGCAGCAGAGATTGTCTTGCACAAAGTGGAAAGAAAGTCCTATTCTACCCAGCTTTTTTCCCTCCTCCATCTCTTGTCTGGTAACTCTGATCTTGCAGGAAGACTATCCTATGAGCAGCTATTGCTACTAACATTATACACCATGATGGGACAGGTCTCATGCATCTCTGCAGATTTCAGAGCTCAGTGAAAGAAAGTTTGGCTTAACAGCTCAGGGACCAGTGGATCCTCAGAGTGACCAGAGGGTTTTGGTGGAAGGGAATCAAACTAACCCAACCACCAACCAGCCCTTTTCTTTGGCCTTGAGTGACTTCTCCCTCTGAACACCCAGTCCCTTTTACCTGAGGCAGCCTGATTTTTTTGTTCTCTCTTTGATTTTCCAGGGGCAATGATGTTCCCTAGCCAGGACTGCCACAGGGCATACTCCTTGCAGGACACACACCAGAGGAGGTGTCACTGTTGTACTTTGCCCCCATCCTCAGATTTAGGGGAGAAGTTTGAACCCTGAACCTGCCAGGACATGGGAACAGCCTTTTGTAGAGCAGAGCTCTTCCCTTTGCTTTGTGCACCTTGAGCTCCTCATCCTGAAGGGAAGCCCAGTGAGGAAAGAGTCTGGGGAGGCTTTTCCATGCCTGGCTGTGGAAAGCATCCCTTAGACCTGGTAAATCTCCTGGACAGGAGATGGGGAGGTATGTGGGGTGCCTGGTTCCTTCTCCTCAGCTTCCCACAGGTTGTCATAGCTGTAGTCACTCTGGAAGCTCTGGAGCTCAGCATAGTCGTGGTAAGCACCAGAGTCCCGGCAGGAGCCACTGGCCACTGGCAGGTCATACAAGCCAACATTCCCATCTGCAGGAAAACAGACCAAAGGCATCAGAGAGAGCTCAGTGTTCACCTTCTCCTTTGTCAGCAGAGAGGAAGCAGCAAAAGCACAGCACAGATGCAACTAGATGTGAGCAGAGCAGTGGAAGTTTGCTATGGAAGCCACAATGTGGGGCAGGTGAGCTGTGAGTGGAAGCCACATCAGATGATTCCACCAGACATACAGCAGCAGGGGGAGAGGCTCAGTCCCACCCAGGGAAATAGGAAGGATAAAGGGCATCATCTCTGCTTTGAATGATGCTGGTGGAAACAAACACTGGTGAGACAGGGAGGGCTTCAGCACCCTAGTAGCCCCTTAAGAGTCTCACCTGGTGGGTGCAATGAAGAGCTCAGATGTTCCTCTCGCAGAGAAGAGATCTGGAAAGAAAAGAGATGCATTGATGAAGAAGACATAGCACTGCAGACCTGGCATACCACACCCCAGAGGATCAGCCCTCTGTGGTTTCTCCCTCAATGCTTCCCAGCACAGAGCAAAGGGCTCAGAGCCCTGCAGTGAGCACCCCAGGCCCCTGCACCCCATGTGTTCCCCTGCAGCCCACACAGTGAGGAGCTCCAGGACTGGGTTTAGAGCCTCACCTCTTCCAGGTAAGGAGCATCAGCAGGTCCTCGCAGCTGGTGCCTGTGTGAGGTCGCAGGGATGCTGTAACTGGGAGCTGTGGGCACCTCCCTGCAGTGAGTGCTGGGCAGGGACTGACAGTTCCACTTCTCCAGAGAGAGGTGCTGGGATCCTGGGATTGCTGGGCATCCATTCCCTTGTGCTGGACCTGTCTGTCTGTGGCACTGCAGGAACTAGAGCAAAACAAACCCCACATTGGATACCCCCAGTTGAGAGCTGCTTCCCACCTCTAAGCCAGCCCTGCTGTGAACACAGCTAGGCAAACCAAGGTTTTCCAACTTCCTCACAAATCCTAACACATTCCAGTCCTGAAGGCCTTAGATGGAAAGAGAATGGCTGCAGGTCCCTTGCAATAACCCACAGACAACAGGAGTTGCCCAGGTGTGGGGCAGTAGGATTTACAATAGGGGTTACAGCAGTGACAGGTTAATAGTTGGACTTGATCTTAGAGGTCTCCTCCAACCTTGGTCATTTTCTGAAACCTACTCAAGGGATGCAGGAGGACAGGGAGCAGCCAGGAAGGACCCTCCAAGGGAAGGGAGGATGTCACCAGTCTGGGTGATGTAAGCTACAGGCTCAGAGTCTTTTCCCAAGAGATGCTCAAAGCTAGAATTGTAGCCTTTAACAGGCACTCAGTTATCACAGCTGGAATTTTTTGGGGTGGATAAAGTGGTCTCTGTGTCTGACTCATCTGCAGTTTCTGCAGACTGGATGACATCTCAGTCTCTGCCTTGTCTCGTGGTTTCTGGCTCTTCCTGAGGTTGTTGTGACACTTATCCCCCTGATAAGACAGGGGAAACCTGTTCCCCTCTGACTCTGTCCTGGCTTGAAAACCCAGGGAACTGTGCCGTGCCCTGCCCCACCCTGAAATGCAGGTCTGGAGTTTCCACATCCACCTCCAACTCAGGCTGGGGCAGACAGCAGGAAAAGAAATGGCCTGAGGCACAATTTCTGGAGCTAAGAGCCTGTGTGCTGAGTCAGGGCCAGCTGGAACCAGCAGCAAGCACAGGGACCAGTTCCAGGAAGCAGGAGCCTGCCCCACTGGGAGCACTGGGAGTATTGGGATCATTGTACAAGGGGGAGCAGGGCATGGTTGGCTTCTCCAGGCAGTGGAAGCTGTGAAGGACTAACTTCCCTCCAAGCTGCTCAGCTACAAAGCAGAATTGAAACAGGAACATGACATGTTGTTCCCTATTGCAATTCATCCCCAGGAGAGATTGGAGTGGGAATCTCCCTGCAACTCAAGTCCCAAACGCTGCTCATCCACGTGGGATGATGGGACTGACTCCTGGCTGTGCTAGGAAGGGGAATTCCCTGGGTGTGAGGCAGATAAACACTCCCTGAGAGGAGGGGAACATGGAATCACACTAAGCCATTGATGGACACATGCTGGGAAGCCTTTGGAAGAAGTGTCTGTGTCCTACAAGGCAATAACACTCCACCATTGATGGACACATGCTGGGAAGCCCTTGGAAGAAGTATCTGTGTCCTACAAGGCAATAACACTCCTACTGGTAGTCGTGTTGCCTCAGGAATTAGCACCTCCCAGGGTCCATTTTCCAATGGAAAATGGGCTTCAAGCCTGTCCCAGAGAACCTGCCAGGACACCTATCCCTGCCAGCAGCACTGCAAGGAAAAGGTGAACCCTCCTAGGCAGGAGGATCCATCCCCACCACATCCATCCTTACACTGCCTCGGTCCAGGTGTGCTGGGGGAGCTGTGGGGTGATGCTGGGAGCTGTGTGCTGAGTAGGGCTCGTTGTACACTGGAGACAGGAGGTCACCGTTGGGATTCTCAGGAATGAGGCTGCAGATGCTCCTGTCTGAGTCCTGGCTGGGAAGCTGCTGGTTGCATGGGCCACATTTGCCCTTGGATTTCCTGGCGCTGCCTCCTCTCCGCAGGTCCTGTGTGGGCACTGCTGTTGGCCAGTTGGCTTGTGCCAGGTACTGAAATGAGAAGACAGACCCTGAAACTGGCTCTCCTCAGGCTGGGAACACCAACAGGCATCACCCTGTGCTCAGGTATCAGCATGGTCCTGTGCTGGGTCCCTGCCCCACTCTATCCCACACCCCTGGACATGCTGCCAGGATCAGAGCAAACTCCTGCCCAGTCCATCACCTCCTCCCACCTGTAACCTTTATTTTGGGATCTCCTGACCTTTGAACCATCTCCTTTACCCTTCTGCAATCTGCAGAGCATAAGAGATCCATCTCCTCAGCAGCTTTTTCCTTATCAGCAATGCCAAAGCTGAACCAGGACAAACACAAGCTCCAGGTGTGGATTTGCTACACTGACCACTCTGCAGTGTCCATCCCCACACAAATCCCAGGCTTTTGAGGAGTTCACTTACATGGAGAGGCTGGGAATAGCCAGGGGAGACAGTGTCTTCAACCAGCCTGCCATCAGGCATCAGCACAAAGGACTGTCCATCAGGCAGAGAGCCACTGGTCTGGGACAGGTGTGTCAGGGTGGTCACTCTCCCTCCAGATGCCCAGGAGTTGGTACGTCCATCAGAAGTGAGAGATCCTCTCCCACTGCCAGTGAACTAGGTGGGGAAAAAAATATCATGTAGGAAGAACCTTCTGGATGACCACAAGAACATCCCTCCCCAGCCCCTGTGGTCTGGGCTGTGTCCCCATGCCCAGCAGTTGCCTGGTGGCTGGTGTTTGATGCTATCTCTAGGGCTGAGCAGGCAGCTGAGTCCACCTGAGGTGACTGAGGTGAATCAGGGGTGTTCTCAGTGGAAAAAAGGTGCTCAGGCACCCTACCCCCCATCCTGGTACAGAGCTGGCAGTGTGGGTCTCCCCTTCCTTGCAGGAATCATAGAACATCCTGAGCTGGAAGGGACCCCCAAGGATCATCGAGTCCAAGACCCTGTGAATATCTTTGTGCCATCACCTCACTGCACAGCACTGTCAGGGCTCTGCTTTTGAAGGAATTCAACATAATTTTTCCTATGGAACCACAAAATTTTAGGGGTTGGAATGGAGCTTAGAGATGATCCAGCCTCAATCCCTCTGCCCTGGGCAGGGACACCTCCCACCAGAGCAGGTTGATCAAGGCTTTAACCAACCTGACTTTGAGCACTGCCAGGGTTGGAGCAGCCACAGCCTCCCTGGGCAGCCTGTGCCAGTGTCTCACCACCCTCACA